GCCCTCCCATTCCGCGTCCATTCCCAGGGCCTCGCACGGATCCCCCCGGGGCTGGGGGCAGGCCCCCCGGCCAAGTCACTCGGGGGGAACCTGGCCTCCCCGATCCACTCCCCCTGCCTTCCAAAACAGAGAAAGAAATACACGAAGAAGAAACATAATAATCATAATAAAAAAGGAGAAGCCCTTGGGAAGGCGAAGGGCCAGACCGATCGCTCTCCTCCCTTCCCGGCCTGCAGCTTCCCCAGATAGCACCCCCTCCTCGGCATGGGAGCCCCTGGACCCAGCCCCTGGGCTGCCCCCTTCCTCCAGTGTGGGCGATCATTCCACCCCCCCTCAAATACCCGCCTCCCCTCCCCCCTTGCAAGCAGCACCAGGCCTTTGGGGTGCCCAGGCGCCTGGCCCTCCACTCTGCCCCCCACCCCAGGCCAGTGGGGCCCTGGCGAGTGTCGGGGCCCCATCAGCAGGAGGGGGGGGGGGCTTGGATCTTGGCCATTTTGATTTGAAACTGGGTTTCCTGGGGCATGTGATGTGTGTAGTAGCGCGAAGGTCGCCATGCTGTTCTCAGAGAGAGAGAGAAACTACTAGGGAAGCAAATACATTTTTGATTCTCCCAAGATCTCCCAAACTCCAATCCACACCCCCCACCCTATTTTCTCCCCCCAAAAGCAGCCGATCGCAGAGCATGTCTCTCTGTTTGCAAAGGGGAGGCCCATTTCTTCTCCTGAGTCGTATTTTATTATTATTGTTTTTAGCCCTTGCATGAGAAACGTGCCCCTAGGAGTCCTGGAAAAAATGATTTTTTTTGCCCCCCTTTTATTAATCTTAAAATGTAATTCCTTTTTTTTTTCTTTCTTTCTCTGGAGCATGCCTCTTCTCAATACACTGAGCAGTATGATAAGGAATTAAATGTTCCTGGGCAACATTGTCCTGGCAGCTACACACCACTCCCTCCCAGTCCTCCCCAGTTGGAGGCCAGTTTTATATTTAATAAAGTGCACTTGCAAAAGGACCAGAAAATGTATTTTTGTGTGCAGTCCAGCGTCATTTGAATTAAAATGCAAGGTTTCACATGAGAGAATGTTATCCAAGTCTTTCTGACCCCCCACCCAGATTTAAAAAAAGGACACATTTTGTTTTTAGGGAAAGTGGAGCTACATGGAAAACAGCTAGAGATTGAACATTCAGTTCCTAAAAAGCAAAGGTAATACAGCATTTTAATTTCTTTTATTTTTTCCCTGTTGAAAAATAGCTAAGGTAATGATAAATAAAAATACCAGCCCAAATACGTGCATGTGAAATTAGATGTGATATAGAGGTTTGGGGGGCTCGAGATGTGCCCCAAGCTAGGCACGAGTCAGTGCTGATCTTCTTTATGTGGGTTTTTTTACATTTATTTTTTTAAAGTTACTTTGTAAGTAAGTTTTAAGAAATGATTACAAATGATGCAGTAGTTTACTCAAGGTGGTGTATGACTGAGATCTGTTTTTAGGTTTCCAATACATGTGAGGCCAGAAGTTCTCTCTCGCTCTCTTTTAAGCTATATAGTTTCCAGTTAGTTTGATCACTTTTCTTTTTCTTTCTTTCTTTTTTGTTTTCAATTATAACATTTAATAAGGTAAATTTATTTTTATTTAATAAGGACTTGTTTGAATATTTCATGCAGGGAGTGTATTTTAAATAAATTGCAGGGAGGGAACTGGTTGTACTGGAGAACTCTTACTGAGTGGTCTGTAATGATTTCACTTGCCTTATTTTTGCTTTAAACAGAAAAATAGAGTCTTTCTGTTTTTAAATGGATGCTATTTCTCCAGCTAGATTTTAAAGAAGCGTACAGTCGTCTCCATGCCCTTGGCCTTTTGTTGAGGGATCCTCTTGTGTTAAGGAATTATTCTGGCTACAGTGTAGATACTTTGCAGTTTAGGGGAAGATACCACACAGAGGAGGAGAAATCTCCAAATAATGAATGGCAATGGCTTTTTAGAAAAAAAAAAGTATTTTCTCCACCTCATTGGGAGCAGGAGATTTGGCCCAAGATACAAATAGTCCACGTTGAATTCTAGCAGAATCTATAGTACACTTCATCCACGTGATCAGGCAGTTACTTCAGCAGCAGAGCAGAAGGGAGGTGGTGAAACAGATCATTTATTGCCTGTTTTCCCTTCTTTAGGATTGACAAAATATACCAACAAGGCACTAGTGACATCTTACAGGGAAAAGCTAGGCCTGAACCATTTGTTGGACTTTTAAACTTTCTCACCAATTTGCTAGTTCAAGCCCAGGGGCTGAAAACTGGATCTTCTATAACACGTTATAGGTTAATGAGACCCAGAAGGTTTAGCTCAAAACCAAAAATCTAATAATTTCTTATCAAATATTTTAGCAACAAGACCCATCTCATGTATATAGACAATCAATATTGCTTGTTACAGTGTTCAGAGACTTGCTGTGGTTTAAATATCAATTGAATGGAATGTTATTGGAAAGGCAATTACAGTATGAAAGGTAACATAATAAAATCGAAAAAGTCTGATTTTTTTTTCCTTAGCACTGCTAGAAAAATCAATAGGTGAATACAGTAGATTTTGAGATATTTCTTAGTTCATTTATCCTAACCTTTTTTCAGACTTTCTTAATAATAGCAAAGGAGAAATTATACTGAAAGGTAAACATTTCCTGACTCTGTATTTCAAACAAATTGTGATTTAAACTTTATAATAAGTGGAATCAAACTTAAGGTTAGTTAGCAAATTTCAGGGGGAGACAGGAGAAATAAAATTAATTACATATAGATCCTAAATTCTATGGCGTGGTGTGTTTTTATAGTTATATATACCCCCATCTGCTTTCTTTAAAGCTACAGGAGCCATTTTTGATGTTGACTTTCTCCCTTAAAGTGCTTTATTTGAAGTAGCTTTATTAGTACAAGATTGTGATGTTTCTCAGGTTGGATACATTCATTTATCACTTGATTTTTACATAAAGTTACACTGTCTTGATTTCCTAAGACAGACTTGTATTTCTGTTTTCTAAATGTGGCCTTAAAATGTTAATAGATTTAGGAAGTTAACTAAAAAAAGAAAAAAAATGTAAAATGATGATACACCATCTAATAAGATTATTTTTGTCTAAGAGTGAGGTGATGTTAGTGGCTGTGTTTCTAAGTGTTTCCTTTTTTCTGGTTGTTTTGGGACTGGATTTTCCACTCTAAGGACATACAGAGCAGGAAATAGTTAATTAGGTATGATTAACAAGGATTCAGATGCTGTTAGTATAATTTTAAAAAAACCTGATGAGAGACAAACTTTGAAGCATAGAAACTTAGAAAATGAAGCCACATTCACTCATGTGCTTTTCAGAGAGTTTTACAACTAAAATGTTGACTTGTTGCTTAGATCTCTTTTGTTACAAGAACTAAAACTGATAAATGCTAAATAAGACTAAAGTTGATGTGTTTTGGAAATTAATATATTTCAGGAAACTGCATATCACAGGTAGTTCTTTCCTGATTGTTTCTTTTCTTCTTATAAAATGTGTCTTCTCTTCTCATCCCTAACAAACATGAATTAAAATATTGAGAATGTGTCAGTGTTAGATGTGAGAGAATTGCTGGAGTGCATTTGTGCAAAGTGTAAGAGAGTTACAAATTCATTAAGAATAATTTAATTAAATGGCTTCTACCAGGATTCTCTGAGATATCTTCAAAACTGCTTATTCTGTTGGTGTTGATTAGGAAATTAATTTAAAGAAATATTTAAAAAATGTTACGCAACATAGAAAAAACCCCATTCATGGGTAGTAAATGTATTGTTTCATTGTTTGGCATTCATATTTTAAAACACAGTTATATTAAAATTGTTTAGGTTAAAAATGTCTCATTGCCATTTTGAGAAGGACAGAAAGTTTAGGAATATTTTTTTTAAAAGGGTGCAACTTTTTGTGTTAGTGAGAGGGCAACTCAAGTTTATATAAGAAAATTAATAAGTTAAAAACACTCTGGATTAAGAAATATTTAGGAGGGTAGATCTGTCTGAAACTGAAAAGACTTAAGGGGATAGAATTTGAAAGAGAGAGAGAGAATGAATGAATAAAGGGGGAGGGGAAAAAAGTAAGTGAATCCATCAAGCAAACATTCCAAATATGAGGAATGTGGAAGTGAGTAGCCCAGAGAGAATGAAACTTAGTAATTGGGGGAAATAGTGAATATGGCTGATAACAGCCAATATACTTAAAACTAAAAGGACATATACAAGGTATTTTTAAGTCAGGATAACATAAACAACAGGTCCAGTTAGAAAAAATGTGTCCCAAACCCCCAAACAGAGGTAGGAAAATAATTACAGGCGTATTTAGTGTGTTATGAATTGATGTGGATATACATGTATCTAGTTTATTTGAGAGCTGGTGTATTCCCCCCTTTCCAGGCTTTGTTTCAAGTTAATACATGTGCACACTTCAGATATGTTATTTTGTCTATACACAATCATATGCCTAATGCTTTCATAACGAAATATTGTAAGATGTGATAAAACGTCTGGTGTGACTTCTTTCTTCTAAATTGTTAGTTGAAAAAATGTCTCTTGCTAGCTTTTATTTTCTCAGGTCTGCAAAAATTTGTTGGAAAAAGCCATTAATTTAATTTAAGAAAGCTTCCTGAATTCTGGGGCAAATTCAGTTTAAATGCATTCTCAAGTTTATTCACTTCCCCCTCAAACAGAAACAATTAGCTTTTATTAAAAAGGTGCCGTCTTCATTGCTGAAAGCATTAGCATTGCTTACACCAGGGTTTGAAAATTAATATATGTGAGAAAGGAAGAGGAAAAAAAAACCTTGCTATGTAAATATTTAAAGATAATAATTCAGATCAAATTTTGGTTATCTTCATAGTTTTCTTTGGACTTGGACATGTGTACCCGGAAAACTGGTCCTTTAAGAATAATTTTGGACCCTATTTGAAGTAATTTGTAAACCTGTTGGTGAATTCCAGCCATGAAGGACAGACATCATTTGTCTGTTTCGTGTTCTTCTGTAGTAAGTTCAGATTTAAAATGTAGATCATCTGGGATGTGCATCATTTTTTAATATAACTGGAAAAAGGAATAACTGCAACAAATTGCAATTAGACACAATTAGAAAAGAATTGGCTTAGTCCCTGTTTGTGAGGCGGGGCTAAAACTGGCAAATGTGCACAAGAAGTTACCACCTCACTGCAAGCTTTCTAGTCTCGAGTTTTTGAGCCAATGAAAAATGAAGACCTGTAGATGCCCTTTGTTTGGAGTTTGATGGGATTTCTTGTGGAAGGAGGGAGAGATGAGTTCTCAACACAACATCTGTAGCAATTGCTTAGGACTGAATCAGATTCTCCAATGGCGATTTCTTTTGCTTTTTCTCTTTAACTGAAACCATTAGAGAAATAAACACATAAATAATAATAGAGTTATCCCCCTTTAAAAAGTCACAGCTATAGGAATATAAACATGTAAAAAAATAGTTCCACCCAGCATCCCCCAAAAGATACAGAGAAGTTAATGTTTTCCAGAATGTGCCAGTCAGTAGGATTTGGGAGAGTTCAGAAAGCAAGAGAAGCTGTGGAAGAATAACATGAGTTAGGCTCAGTGTTTGAAATTCCAGAAACAGAAAGAGTCCCCTTGTGGGAGTGGTTGTTAGTAACTGAGACCACCTGCCTCTAGTAGTAGTTTACAAGTTTGCTGGCTTTATGAATGGAAGGTGCCTCCCTCAGTGACACCGAGAAACATTTTCACCCTGTGTTATTAATGATGCCATTGGTTTTACAAAACAGCCTTTGTGAAACTTTAGAAAACCTCAGCAAGTAGATGTTGCTTTCACAAACAAGAGCCTGGTAAAGAGTGTTATGACGAAGGAATGATGCATATGGAACTGTTTTAGTAGTAGTCAGTGATTCTTCATTCTTGTAACTTAGAGAGAGTGATGGAGACTTTAAAAGCAATGAAAACAGCTGAAACTTTTGGACAGAAGTTCCTTTAAAGACCAGGTTACTCACAAAAATGATCAGGGTTGTTTTCTTATCTAGCTAAGGTTAAAATCTCAGCACGCACTAAGTAACCAAGTTTCATTTTCAAAGGTGACTTAGGCATTTGGGTGCTTAACTTTAATACTTAGGCTTCTAAATCACTTCAGCACCTCAAAAAAATGCCCCCATATTACCAGCAACCTCTATTTAGT